GGGGGTCGCCGGACGTTCCCGCCCGCGTCGCCCACCCTCCTCGTGTTGAAACCTTTCCCTCGGGTTCCGTGTCTTCACTTCCATTACATTCTGCGGGTTTATTGCAACGCTGGTTTTGTTCCGGGCACTGTGCGTTCAGGAGACGGTCCCCACTCCCGAGGAGGGCGCGGCCTGGCGCCAACAGCAGCCTCAACGCCAGGCTGCGTGCCCTCTGTGCCGGGCACTGCTCTAAAGTCTTTCATCTCGTTGCCCCATTTTATGAATTAGGGAACCAACCGAGACACAGTAACTTAGGCAAAGTCGCACGGGGAGCGCCGGTTTTGAGGCCGGGTGGTTCTGCAGCCCCTGCCAAGCTTGCAGGCTCCCTTCTGCGGGGATTAGAACCCGGGACTGGAGGAGACGCGGGAGTGCAGACTCCGCACGGGCGGCAACAGAACAGAAGCAGGTAAAAGTGAAAGCCCGGCTTGTATCGGGGGAATTATGAGCAGTTGTGTGTTGAAGGATGGAATAGAAGATCATAAAAGCCACCGTTTATTTGGTGTCAGGACTTGAAATAAGTTCTTGATTCCAGCACCTCTTTTATCTTCAAGGCAATCCCAGGAGGTGCTATTTTTATTAGAATTTGCAGCGGAGGAAACCGAGGCTTAGAACGGTTAAGTGATTTACCCGAGGACATGTAAGGTAAATGTATCCACTGCACACTCCCTGTAAGGCATTTGCTAAGCCCTGTAGGAGATTAAAAGGAAGTAATTGAGTTACTAGTTGAGTTACNTCCCTGTAAGGCATTTGCTAAGCCCTGTAGGAGATTAAAAGGAAGTAATTAGACCTAGTTGAGTTATCAATGAGTTCACAGTCTAATGAGGTCAAGACAAACCCACGTGAAACTGAGTTTGTCTTGATGCATGATGCTTATACTTTTCACACATGTGCTAAATTCTGGGGCCAGGACTTGAAACATTGTAGCTTTAGGAGAAAAGAAACATCAAGACGATTGGGACAGGGGAGAAGGCAATGAAACTGGGAAGATTTGAAAACTGTCATTTGAAAGAATACTTAGTGTCTTTTAATTTTAAATTAGTGGGCCTCATATTTCTCAATCTTGGTGTGAGGTTACCTTACTGCCATTACTGTTATTCTGAGAAAAGTTTTAGTGAAAACATTAACTTGAAGAACAGGATTAGGACTGATGAATCGTATTTAGATGTTTGTAAACTTTTGATATGGTTTATCTACAGTTACTTAAACTGTCAGAATGCACCTTTTCCCTAGTCTTTCAACAGGATAATATATGATGCCCCTTTAACCAGTATAGGAGGTGCTGGGATTGAGGAAAATCACTGGCTTGGACGGCTGTGTGGGAGCTGAAGAGGCCAGAGCAGAGGTTTTCCAAGCTCGATGCTGGACCTGGGAACCTGTTAGACGTGCAAAATCTCTCGAGTTCTACCCCAAACCTACTCTCCTAATAAGCCCTCCGTCTGATTCTGATGGACCCTAGAGCTGAAGAACCACTGGTTTAAGAAGACACCTTTCCTTAAATGGAAGAGGGAGCAGCAATGGAGAAAGGAGAGAGGCAGTCTTGCTTAAAAAGCTGGAGCCCACCAGCTTTACACCAGATTTACAAATTGAGAGTGATGAGCTTTCTGCCAAGAGAGAAGATAGGATGGTGTTCTGCCTTCTGTTCTGCATCCTAATTCCTGACTTCCATTCAGAGGTCGCCCGCATAGACTAAGTCCCACCTCATCCTGGGAATTCTGGGATTAGCCTGGGTGCAGAAGGGGGATATTTATCAAGGACCTATTATTTATGCCAGACATTAGTAATGCACTTACTTCACGCTTACTCACTAACTTGACTTAGGTGTGGTTACTTCTATTTTGCATATACAGAGACAGGCTCAGAGCAATTTGTAATTTCCGCAGGCTGTATGCCGCATAACCAGGAAGCAATAGGACTGGATATCCAGAAGGAAATGAGTAATAGGTGGTGTTTATCATTGTTCCAGGCTCAGAGTTTAATCTCTGGTTTCGGGGCTGCAACTTTAAAATAAAATGCACTCTAACCATTTTTTGAATTTTTCTAGTTGTAACAACTGCCAGTTACCACCATTTACACCAGAATCATGCTATTGTATGATTATAAAACTAATATTTTTCCCTCAAAGGATGAATTTTCTCAGAAGGAAATATTAGATGATAATAGTGGTAATAATGATAAATGCTATGAGCCCAGAGACCAAGTTTATAGTCATCTAAAAGAATCCAGAAAAGATTAGTTAAACATTTTTTACCACCCTGAATACATAGAACTACTGAATAGTTTTATAAGAAGCTAATTTTCATATATCACTTTGTTCTCTGTTAAACAGAGTAATTCAAGAGTCATATATAAGGTTTTAGAACAAAGTTATTAAGGTGTATTTAAAATATATGGTAAAATGTGAGGGAAAGCTAATAAAAGCAGATTTAATTGACCATGTGGTTGTGGATATTAGATAAGTTTGCTCTCATAGTGTGGTGGGCTGAGCTGGCTGGGCCTAAGAAAGCCAAGTGCTCAACTTTCAGAAAGTTTGCAAGCCAGTTGTTAAGCATGGCCTTTGTTAAAGTAAATAAACACAACTGAATAAATTGTGTTAGAAACAAAAGTAATCAAAATGAATCCCTTCTTACTTATTTTACTATTATTGATGCTCGAGGTTATTTTTGCCTATTTTATCTGTGATAGAAGTGCCACATAAAGTTGTGTTCCTGGGCCTCGCTTCCCAACTCCATGTTCAGTGAAATTATGCTGGTGGGTTGAGTTGGTGGGGCATATACAAGAGGAAAACCAGCCAATGCCACAATACAGGCCTCTCCAGACTCCAAAGCCAATTGGGAAACATTTATCAGCACTCCACTGGTTATAAAATGGGCAATTTTAAAATGAAAATATGATGCCCAGCTGGGATGGCTCAGTGGTTGAGTGTCAACCCATGAACCAAGAGGTCACCAGTTCGGTTCTTGGTCAGGGCATATGCCCAGGTCAGGTTGTGAGCTCGATGCCCAGTAGGAGGTGTGCAGGAGGAAGCCACTAGATGTTTCTCTCATCAATGTTTCTATCTCTCTATTCCTCTCTCTCCCCCCTCTCTAAAATCAATAAAAACATATTTAAAAAGTAAAAAACAAAATAAAGACATGATTTGAGTTCAAGTGCTTAATTGTTTCTGACATATATTGGAAAACTATAACCAAATGGCTCTGAGTTTAAGGACTGAGTAAGAGTTCTGGCAGAAGAGAAACAGCATACTCAAAGGGCTCGAATACAGAGTTTGAAAACAGGACTGTGTTTAGACGCGCGGGCAGGGTTAACTTAAGGAATCCACAGCCCCGAGGACTGGGAGCAGGTTGAAATCGTTACCACCTCTAGGCCTGCGTGGACAAGGGAAGGATGGTCACATCAGAGCTTTCGCGACCTGGACTACGGGAGAGGGGCTGTCCAACAGGACCTGTGGCCTGGCGGGCTGCAGGCACCGTCACAACCACAGCTCGGCAGTGGGGAGCAGCGGGGAGGGATAGACGCATCCCAACTTCTCTCCCACAGGCTTGCAACATGGGTCTATTTTGTTGTATTAATCAAGTGACTGAATTTTCCACGACAAGCATTAAATCCATAGGAGCTTCGGACTGTTTTTAAGCAACACCAGTTTGTGCTTGAGAAGGCCTCTGGCAAAGACTTGAAATCCTGGGGTTCACATGGAACTTTCAAAGACAGTTATCCAGGACAGTCACCTAGAACCACGTCATAGGGTTGCTACCCACTGAGTGGGGTACAGAATGTAAAGGAGTCATTGCCCTTGGTGGCCAGATGTGCCCACTATATTACTTGACATTGTCTCTGGAAGTTCCTAGCCTCTCAGGTGCCATTCTAAAGGGCTCCCAGTTCTCTCGGGCTCATCTGGGGGCAGCGTCTCTCTTATACATGATGGTCTGAACAAAAAGGCGGCTACACAGACCTGACAAGCTCGGGAAGCTACACGGCAGGTCCCACAAGCCCAGTGACCAACAGTAACACACAGGATGGTCCGAACATAACTCCTAAGCGGGCCGGTCATGGCTGATAGTCATATCCCAGGCCTTCAGCTGCTTTAGTAAAAGGTTAATCTTTAAGTCAGTTTCCGGTCTATTGCTCTTGCGCATGTGGGATAATATGCCTTTGAAATGTCCGAATAATTTTCACTTCCAGATCCTTCAAAAACAGACCCACTGGCAACAGAGCACGAGGACACCGAAACTCGCTATCTTCTGGCCCACATACCAGCTCCACTCTCAGTAACTTAAATGTTCATGATCCTGTGCCCGCCAATGTAAAAGAAGTATGTCTCTCTCCATTTGCCTTTTTATTTAACCCCAGCCTTTTCTCCCACCTCTTTATCTACCATCAACAGGTTCCATGTACCTCCCTTACTTTTTCTTTGATCCTAAACGTATTAAAAGAACTATAAAACTGCCTTTCTCCAGAGCATTTTCTCAGTCCATTGAGATCTTGCTTCTGGGCATGTCCTCAAAATTCTGGCTCAATTAATTCTTATTAGTGCTTTCTATAGGCTTGGATGTTTCTTTTGTTTACATTTGCTGGCAATTTAATATTAAGTTAAAACATAAAACTACTGATACAGGACTATTTTTAACCTACAAAATCAACAATTTTATGGGGTTCAACCAAATGAGGTATTGTCAAAATGTCTCCCTCTTCTGCAAAATCTATGTCACAACTTATTTTCTGCCACTTACTCCCAAGTTTCCTAAATATTATAGTTATGAAATTTCAGGTCTTAAGGAGAATTTTCATAGCCAATCCTAACAATGTATCAGATTGGCGTCTGATCCAGCCTCTCCATGGACCCCAGAGAACCGCACCCCAGGGCTTAAAGGCTGCGAGGCCCAGTTCAATCACAGGAAACTGGGAGGAAGTGAAGCTCAGGTGAAGTCCGGGCAGCGACGTCTAAGGAAATCCCAGGCTTGGCTGTGGCGCCTCTCCCCAGATTTTATGAAAACACGCTTTCTCAGGTCTTGCTGAGTTTGCTAATGTACCATGAAAACGTGCCAACAGAGCCCTGCTGGTCACTGTCCTCGGCAATATTTTTGTTTTTCCATATAAACCGATTCCACAGAGGGGAAGGCACACGAACGCACAGGCTTGCAGACCGCGGAGACAGCCTGGGCTCAGTCCCTTTCTGACTCTGCCATCTTCCCCGTCACACGCCGAGAGACTATTATTTGGTTCTGTGGTCATCTCCAGGGCATTAGGGACACGTAACAAACCTTTGTGTGTTTTAGATGCATAAGAACACATAGCCATTCTCACTCTCAAGTATGCTGAGAAAGTTGGATGCTAATATAGTGTGAATAATCATCTTACTGTATTGCACATGAAGATTTTAATTATTCCTCTTTGTCCTGGGGTTTCACCTGATTGCAAGGAAAGAGCTATGATTATCTGGAGATGTGTAATTTAATCCTTATTGTGCTCTGAGCACAGTTAGTATGTGTCTCAGATTTAATCCCTTCAGAGGGGCCTTTTGCAAAAAAATTGGCCACAAAATATCGAAATGATTTTTCTATCTCCATGACGTCTTTTAAGATGAATGATCTAAAAAGAACACAGCAAAGAAAAAAAAAATGCAACCAGACTGTCATTTATTAATACAAATTTATATAGTGGCGTATGCTATTGGAGAAATCAGAAATTCGTAACACACAAATTGGTACTGGAAATACAAAAATCATTTGAGAGTCAAGAAATCAGGTTGACAGCACCACAAATGTCATACTCAGCCTGAGCTGGTGTGCAGTATCCAAGAATCACAAAAGTTCCTACAGGACACAGAGACTGAAAGTTAGAAGACTGCAAATGTGTTCCAACTCCATTTCCCATCCACCAATAAAAACCCGCAGGAGTCCTCCAGGAGGCCTGGGGACAATGAAAGGCAGAAAAAGGTGCAGACTCTTCTTTCATTTAACCTTCACAGCCCACCAGTGACTGATAGCAAATAGCGACCCTGGAGGGGCTTTGTTCCCTCTCACCCAAAGGCATAGTATAAAAGGTTAGTAAAACACACACAGGCTTTAGTGAGCATGTCAGAGAAACTGAAAGCAGAGATTTGACTGAATTATAATCCCACATCAATCACCAAATGATCTGATCCCTAAATGAAGTATAAAACATAAATGAAATGAAAAATTCTGTATCAAAGGAGTCAACTTCAAGTTCTCATCTCTTAACATGTTCTATGTAATGTGTCATCCACTAGAGAAGCACCACATTCAGTCACCTGCATGTAGCGGGGGAAGGGCAGGCAGGAAGGGAGGCAGGACTACTCCGAGTGCTTTCCTTTGGCACAGGTAGGTCACGATCTCAAGGTCCTCGCAGGAAGCTGCTCTGGTCACGCAAGCCCTCCCCGTGGAGGCTGCCGGGGGCACAGGGAGATCCTGGTCTCCACCGCTTCCCAACTAGCTTCATTCTGCCACCTGCCTGCACTCTTCCCATGCAGGTGTCCCATTTTGTAGTAACGGAAGGGATGTGCAAGAAGAATATCTGAGCAAATGGAAAGATGCTGCTTTAATGTGTAAGCATCTGGCACGAGGAACTATAAACAATGGGCCAAATCAAAGTTGCTCCTCAAATGACTGGCTTCCTGTCCTTGTAGAATTAGCGCGAACCCCCTAGGTTGTTAGAAGATTCTGCGTGCATCTGGTGAGCTTCCAGCCACGAGACACCAATTCCAGATGTTCGCGAGGCAGGGACATAGTTCTGCCTTGGACTGCCCGAGCTGGCCTCAGGTAGCACCTGACCAGTCAGGTGTTTCCAGGTCTGGGCTCCCTCAATCCATCCTGTCCTGAAAATTTTACACTCACCTCAGCATGCTAAGTCAGACATTCCTCTAAATGTCCTGCTCTGGAGACCGAGTCACAGTCTCACCGCCTGCTCATATGCTATTACGACTTGTCTGTTTAGTGCTCCTTAGGGCCATGGCCAGATTCATGTCAATGTAAATCGGTGCTTCTTTGTTCCAAAGAGATTATTTCATAACCCAAGTAGAGGCAAGTTTTGGGGTTTTTTTCTACTTGCCCTTGTGATATTGCCATCATCCCCTCTCATCTCCTCTTCCTAAATTTATTCCCCTGTAACTCACCCACGACCCCAGTCATTTGTTCACTCAGCACATGTTTCTGGGTGCTTGTTATGTGCAAGGCACTGCCGGGTAATGAAAGGCACACTCACACGGGCCCTGCTCTCAAGGAGCTTGGAGTCCGGTAGAGATGCCTAAAACCTTTCAGAGTTCACTCTTTCTAGCTTTTAGAACCAAACTGTTTCCCGTTTGGAATGTTCCAGAAAGCTCGGGTCATTCTAACACAAATATTGCAATGTGAACATGCTGTTATCCGCTCGGCGACTATGGTAGGCCATGCATCGGGAAGAGACAGCGTCTTACTCCTGAATAATGAAAAGGAGTCTCCAGTTCAAAACAACATGACGCGCATGCTTATGGCTTTGCCAGCAAGGCAGGAACCAAAAAGAAACACAAAAGCAGGCCGTGTGCACACAATGTGCAAAATCGTTAAGCTGCTATCTGAACACTAAATCATTTTAAAGCCATGGGTTTATGGCCTTGTCATGTGCTGATATGGTAAAAATAAGTGCCTGAGCTACCAGAAAAGAACCCCCCGAAAGAGAAATCCCTGAACTATGGTACCAGGAGTGGTGCCTTTATCTGCTGTGAGTAGCAGTACTCTACCTGCTGTATTAGTAGGCATCTATTAACTGATTTCACTCTGGCCTGGGCTTTCTCCTAATTTGCTTTATGCAAATAAATCACTTACTTTCCTGAAACCCTAGCACAATAAAAACCCCACAGCTAGCAAAGCACACAGGCTTGTCTGTTATCGGACTGGGCAAAGCCTGGGGTGGCAGGAAGCGGTGATATAGAAAAAGGCCAGGGTGCACTGAGCTTGTTTCGCAGCATCCTTCTACAGGGAGGACGTCCTGACACGTCCTTGGTGCAGCATCAGCTAGCTGGGAACAAGGACATCTCCCCGGCCTAGGGTGCACTGCATCACTAATGTGCTCTGAGGTGCTTGCCAGGCCCCTCCTTTCCCCAGGTTTCAGTGTCCCCGCTGTAAGGGGGGTTCTGCCATGCCCGATGTCCGATGACTGACAGGAGGGCCCCAGGTTTCTCCTGAGGGCTACAGAGAGGTGCTCTCCTCTAGAGCACTTTGAACCCCCAGGTGAAAATGCCTCTGGAAATGCAAAGTGCAATTAGAGGCCACGGAGCGAGTGCAGGCTGTCAAGTGGATACAATGAGAAATACATCGCTGTGCTGATTGGCAGAATTTTGAATGGAATCTGGGTGTCAGCAATTTGAACTCTGTTGTCCAGAGGCCAGGAAAAGCCCTAGCAGAAGAAAGCTGGAGGTGGGGGAGGAAACCAAAGGTCCTGAACCCCACTTTCTGAGATCTGCCCCCGTTCACTCCCCAGCCCCCTGAACTGTGTCAGCTAATCTAATCGTCTCCCTCCCGTCCTGATGCTAACACACTTGCTTTCTAAGACCCGCCGTCCAGAAGGAGCAACTGCAGCTACCGAGCCTACTAAAGGGATCCCCAGAAAGAACGCCGCCAGTCCCCGGGGGCTCAGTGGTTGTGCTGAATGAGGTAGCTCAGTTGTGAGTTGATGCAAGTGATGTGTGCCTTCCGCTGCTCAAAGCTCTAGTTTTCCCTTTTTACTCTGCAAGGTTATAAAAATACCAGTATTTTCCCCGTTTTATAAAAATGATTTTAGAAAAAAAAATGCACATGGGTCTCCTCCCTTAAACTTCCGTGCCATCCTGTAAGTTGTTGTGCACCCGGACCTCCAGGTTCAGCGTTTTCACCCTGGTGCCCGGGCCCTCGCCCAGCAGGTGGGCGTCGCGCTGGGCGCGGCGCTGGCGGCTCAGGTTCTTCTCCACCCGGCCCAGGCCGCGCCCGGGCACGTCCACCTTGCTGTTCAGGGGGTACTCCTCCAGAACGGCCTCCGGGGGCGCCTTCTTCCGCTGCGTCCGGCACCTCCTGGTGATGAAACAAGCCACCAGGAGCACGAGAAGCAGAAGCATGATGGCAGCGAGAGCGCTGCCAACGGACGCCCCGGCCTGGGACAGGGAAGCGGCGACCACCGGCTCCTGCACGTCCAGATTCAGGGACTTCATATTGGTGCCGTTCTTGACTTGGTCCCCTTCGTTGTCATAGACGAGGGAATCGGCCAGGCTCAGCAGGCCCCTGGGGTCCACCAGGTCCCTCCGGCTGCGCCTCAGAGGGGCTGTGACCGAGCGCTGGACCCGGGGCCCCGAGAGGGTGTCAGGGCCAATGATGTAGATGACCTGCAGGTACCACTGGTGTCCTGCTTCCACCTGCAGGAGACAAACCGGGCGTGTCACTGCTGCCCACAGACAGCTTCTGACGAAAGGACACGGAAAGACAGTTGCCACCACGAGCCTTGGTAGGTAAACGATTTCAAGGAAAGCATTAGCAATGGCTGGTGCCTACTATTAGAGGATTCAACCAAATAGTATGGATTCCATTTTATTTCTAAATTAGGGTGATGCTGGTCCAGCTATTCACATTCTTTTCTCTTTGTCTATCTGTGTCTAGAATAGTCCTAAGTATTTATTTTTTATGGTCTCTTTAGCTGGTAAGTGCTTACGATATCAGTCTTCCTTGATTGCAGAGAAGTAACAGTATTAATAACCACATTTATTCCCAGTGACCTTTAATTGCTTGTTATGTTAATTTACTATTTATTGATGAGCTTTAGCTAAAATAAAGTCATTCAACAAATATTCACTAAACACCCACCCTGGGCATAATAAGCAGACACTTGACGAAAATTTACTAAATCTGAATACTCCCTGGACCATCCTCTGAGTGATTATATCATCAAGTATTTTATTGCATGTCATCTGCCCCCATCTGCCCTCCACGGTTTTGAAACTTACAAAGAGTGGTAACAGTTCTGAAATCTAAGGTCACAGATTACTATTTGGAGGCAGAAAAAAGTAGAATTTGATCTTGGAAGTTCATGTTTATTACTGAGACTTAGAATATTTTTTTCTTATCAAATATTTGTAATTCTTGCCATTCTAAATTATTGTATTGTGCTTATGATTTTGTTAAATGTTTTCTACATGCTTGTGAAAATAGAGCCAAAAAGGCAGGCAATATAAAAATAATTAGAGAAAAACTAGAGTATAGTAGGCACCTGGGTGCACACAATGAACAGAGGCTGGGTGCAAATTAAATAACTGTATCATTGCTTTGCTGTATTGGAGATAGATGGTGAAAATTTTGGGTGAATGATAAGCTTAACAACATCAAAAGGAGGTGCCAGCAAGATGCTACATAAAGAAACTGACGGTCCACAGATGATGTGTCTCCCTTCTGCAACCTTTAGAGTGGCCTTGGTCCTGTGCTTCCCGCCTCACCACACTCACCTTATAGAGTGCGTCCACTTTCAGAGTAAATCCGTCCACGCCGGGCATGCTACTGACCACGTGGAAATCAGGCAGCTCGGAAGCAAAGTGGGCCTCAAAGGGCACGTCATGGAAGTACTTATCAGTTACCTCTGGCTGACTGCGGTCCTAGGTTTTCAGAAAGGAAAGGAAAAAAAGATTTAGAAAGACGGAACCACTGGACTGGCAAGTAGCAGTCCCTGGGAGGAGAAAGGTCTCTCCACGCCTGCCTTGGGTGCGGTGGGAAGAGCATGTGCCGCAGAAGCCCCCTCCTTAGGATGACCGCTGCCTCTGGGCACCCACCGCCCTCTTCGAGGGACGATAGCTGGAGGCCTCTGTGACTTCAAAACACGAAGAGCAGGATGGCCTAGACAAATAATTCTCAAGCTATTTGGTCTCAGGACCCTTTACACACTTAAAAATCAAGGACCCTACAAGTCTTTTGTTTATGTGGCTTGTATCTATCAAATTTTGTATGTATCTAATTTTACTGTATTAAAATGAACACTGAGAAATTAAAAAATACTAATTTATAAATTCATTTTACAATGGCAATGAAAAACCCATTACATATTAGCATAAGTAACATGTTCTTTAGAGAAAATACATGTATTCACCACCACCCCAAGAGAGCTGGCACTGCTTTACATTTTTGCAAATTTCTTGGAAAGAACTACTCTCATAACTTCTATATTCAATCAGTTGTGATATGTTGTTTTGGCTGAAGTATATGAGGAAAAAGACCTCACATAGCTATGCAGTTGGAAAAGAGAAGAATGTTTCAATAGCTTTTATCAATAAGTTGATAAATGATATTTTTAAAAGATTAGTTACAACGTGAAATCTGAAACCACATCAATAAACCTTTCATGCTCTCTACACTCATGAAGGAATGAGTGTGAAACAGGCAAGTCATCATATTGCTATGAAAGCAGTTTTGACCTTGTGGACGCCCTGAAGGAGTACTGGTATTGACGATGTTCTGGGGTCTCCGGACCACACTTCTAGAAACACTGGGCTAGACTTTCCTTTTCCCAGGACATTAATAATAGCTTGTCTGGTTACCCACCATAACCATCAGATTTGGTAATATGTACTAGAATTTGGCTGAGCAGAGAGAAACAACAACAACAATATATAGATACACACACACACACACACACACACACACACACACACACACACACACATAAAACCATTAAGAGTGGGGTTCTATCAGCTTTAGAAAGAATTCAAAGCTGAGACAATCTACTTAAATGTCATCACTTTAGCACCAACAGTCACACACCAGCAGCAAGAATCTGTGTTTTAGGTGTCTGTTTGGCTGAATGCATCCATACTGTGGCCCTTCATTGTAGATTGTCCCAGTGGGATCGAAGAAGGGCACATAGCCATCCTTGCCAGTACAAAGGTAGACTTTCTCCAGCTGGAGTTTGTAAGCAGAATTAAGGTTTTGTTCTGGATTCCAGAGTACTCGGCCATAAAGGATTTGACCTGGAAAGATTGAGAGGCATTAATTAGGTCAGACTTTAAGATTAAAGAGGAAAAATGTCAAAGGCAAAAAGGATTTTACACACTTGCTTAGAGCCCAAAGCGCCTCTCTATGAAGAGCTTTATGAATCCATGTGCCTATTTATTGCTTCTTTTATTAAAAACGTATTAATTAAGCATTTTAGGTACACCAGGCACTCTGTTACAGGGGATACAAAGGTCAATGAGATGCAGCTGAGAGGACAGAAATACTAGCTAAGTAACTGCTAAAATAGCTAACATTTATCAAGCTCATACTGTTTGCTGGGTACTGTATACTAAGTCCTTCTAAGAACTCATGTAGTACCAGCAATTTCACAAATGAGGAAATTGAGGCACTGAATGGTTAAGTGACTTGTTGAAGGTCACAAAGCTAGGACGTGGTGAGGGATTCAAAGTCAAGGTACTTTGGCTCTCTAAAGCCCACGCTAGTAACCATCACAACACTACACTGTCATCAACCACAACAGAGGAAGGTACTTAATGTTAAATAAGCATATAGCTGAGCAAAGAAATCTGCTTGGGGAGAGGTTTGGAATTAACAAGGAGATGGTGTGTGAGCAGAATCCTGAGTCAGGAGTAGGTGTTTGTCAGACAGAACATTCGTGGTGGAAGGAAGTGGCAGGGAGAGCATTCCAGGCAAAAGAAACTCGGGTACAAAACACTGAGTGCCAGAAGGGCTCGAGTCCCGGGCACTGTGCCCTTAGTGCCTGCTATGGCAACAAGTTCTCCACCTACGCTATTTATTTAGTTTTCCCATGAGCCCAAAGAGGTAGGTTCAATTATTATCCCCATTTAAAATGACTTGGCCAAGTTTTCCCATCTGTGACATTAAGGACAGGAGCTGAGCATAAATCCGCCCGGCTCTAAACGCTTGCCCGGAGCACTTGCTCTGTGGTAGGTCAGTGTAACTGGATTGGGGGATGTGTAGAAGCGCTAGGAGGACAGACTGCTGTGAAGAGAGACTCATGGTGCTGGGGATTCTGGACTGAAATACACGGTGCTGGGGATTCTGGACTGAAGTACATGGTGCTGGGGATTCTGGACTGAAGTACATGGTACTGAGGATTCAGGACTTAAGTAACAGGGAACACTGGAAAGTTTTAAGCAGGAGCATAATATCAACACACCTGGGCCTCAGAAAACAGAGAATGGAGGAAAGGCGAAGAGACTAGAGTCACAGAGATCAGATAGGGGCTACTTTAATGGTCTAGTGATGGATATTTAAACTCTAGCTGTGAAGCAAGGGGATGGATTCAAGCAATGTCTAGGAGTCGGATTCCACTCATTTTAGTGACAGATGGGATGTGGGACATGAAGAAGAGGAAGATAACGCAGAAGTTTTTCCCTGGGGCACCTGGGGTGTGGTGATGCAGTCCGTGGGGCAGCAGATAGGGGAGAAGCATGTTTGCAGGGAGTTAGGTCCAGCTCTAGACATCTCTAGGTGTCTGAAAGCTCCACTGGAGAGGCTCGGTCGTTCCAGATTGCATGTGGAAACGAGGAATGAAGCTCAGGCGAGATCAGGGATGAGGTCAACTTTTGTGGAATCGGCTGTGGAGTAGTAGGAGTCTAGCAGGTTCAGAGTAAACAGATGGGACAGGCCATGGGAATGCCAGAGGTAGCAATGAAGTGAGACCAGAAGGATCCAAGCATGGAACCTGGGGACAGTAACACACATAGGGCAGAGAAAGGAGACCCAGGGCAGGAGAGTGAGAAGCGGTCAGGGAGGCAGGACGGTGTCAGGTGAGGCTGGTGCAAAGGAAACCAAATAGGAAAAACATGTCAAAATCCATGGATTTAGTGTCATCAACACTAAAGCTGTGGTGGGCCAAACCCAGCCTGCAACAGGTGGCTGGAGGAGTGACTGTAAAGTAAGGCTGTGGAGATAGTGTTTGCTCACTGCTCCTTTAGGAAGTTCCTCAAAGAAAAGAAAAGGTCTGAAGTGGAGGTGAGGCTGAGAATTTTTTTTTTCTGTTAAGAGCAGGACTTGGATGTGCTTTTAGGATGAGAGAAAAAACTCATATGAGGAGAAGATTAAAAGAAAGAAAAAGGCAGAAGGGGAAATTGAGAGAGGAAAGGCAGATCTTTGTTTCATTCATTCATTCATTCATTCAGTCATTCAAGTATTTATTGAGCACCCAGGCACTGGACGTAAGGTGTGCAAATTTCATATTTGAGCACAATCTCTATTCTCAAGGAACTTACAGTCTACTGGTAGAGGTAGGCAATAAATAAGGAAAGAATACATAAAATATATTATAAAATGTTAAAAATGGGATTAGTGCTATAAAACATAAATAGTGTTCTGTGAAAGTGAAAAATATGAAGGCCTGGTTAGACTGTCTGGTGTAGTCAGGGAAAGGCTCTTTGAGAAGATTCACTTTTTTATTGAATTCATTGGGGTGACATTGGTTAATAGAATTATATAGGTTTCAGGTGTACAATTCTATAATACATCATCTGTATATTGCATTGCGTGTTCACCGCCCCAAGTCAGGTCAAGGAGATTAACACTTAAGTAAAGGCCTGACGGAGAAGAAAGAACCAGCCTTTTGAAAAGTCAAGAGAACCATGTGTGCGGCGGGCAAGAAGGCAGCAGAGGAACCATTTCAGCAGAGAAAGCATGAGCACATGCACGTTTGGCATGCCTTTGAGGCCGGCAGGTAGTGGGGGTCATATCGCAATCTCTGAGGAACTGAGAGATAAAGCAACTGGCCCAGAGTTAGTGTGCTAGAATCTGGTTGGAAACTCCAGTCTCCTTACCATTCAGACCAGTGCTTTTCCACAGTGTGACACAGCCAATAACTAAACTGCTAAGTATGCGATCGCATTGTGAAACGACATGAAGGAATAGGGGTCTGTTCCTTGACTACTCATTGGCTGGCCTGGCATCAACCCAGGGGAATCCTCACGGGCAAGCTGACCGAAGGCTCATGGGCAGAGACGCTGGCCCAGGGCTTGCCCGAAAACTTCTCACACCCAGCCACAGTCTGTGTGTGCAGGTGAAGGAAACCTCTCACCTTTTGAGAAGGCTCCCTTGTAATCCATTTCTGCCAGTGACATATCAGACGTGTTAGGATCCATTAGGAACACTTTCTCATTGTTGCAGAGCTGAAACTCAGTATTGAGAGAATACACAACGGGCACAGGGCGGTTGGTCTGCTGGAATGCAATGGGTATCAGGAACCTAAAGGGGGAGAAACAAGAGCTCCTTGAGAGCGGACCAACTTTGCAAAGGTCATTCGCACCTAGGTATTTGCACAGGAAAATAAAAAGTATACGTCCATGTAAAGGCATATATATAAATATCCACAGCAGCTTTATTTATCATTGCCATAACCTGGAAACAACCCAAATGCCCATCAACCTAAAAATCGACAAATTGTAGCATATCCATACCACGGAATACAGTCCAGCAATGACAGGAACAAACTACAGGTACACAACAACACGAATGAGTCACAATAACCATGCTGAGTGAAAGAAGCCAGAGAGAACAAAATGTGCAGTATCTGATACCATTTATATAACTTTCTAGAAATACAAACTAATCTGTAGGGACAGAAAGCAGGTCAGTGGGTTATCGGGGGAACAGGGTGGTTAGGGGTGGGATAGGAGGGAGGGATTACAAAGGAGTATAAAGAAATTTTTGAGGAATCAGATATATTTACTATCTTAACTGTGGTGAGGTTTCACAAGTGTATTTACAGTTGACCCTTGAACAATGTGGGGGGGGAGTGCTGACACCTGCACAGTTGAAAATCTGCATATAACTTTTGACTCCCCCCAAATAGCCTACTGTTGACTGGAAGCCTTACCAATAACATACACAGTCTATTAAAATAACACATATTTTGTATGTTTTATATATTGTATACTCTATTCTTACAATAAAGTAAGGTGGAGAAAAGAAAATGTTATTAAGAGAATCATAAGGAAGAGAAAATACATTTATAGTATTTATTGAAAAAAATCCACCTATAGGTGGACCTGCGCAGTTCAAATGAGAGTTGTTCAAGGGCCAACTGTGTATGTCAAAATTTCTCAAATTGTATATACTTTAAACATGTATAGTTTATCTTATATCAATAACATGGCGACTTAAAAACAACCCACTTGGGCCCTCGGCACTGCCGGGTCCGCTGCTATCGGTACCCTCTAGTGTACTTACTTTCCCACTCTCTGAGATGACTGCATCACTCCCTCATCTCTTCTCAAAACTCAGTGTTCCTCACTTCCAGCTAATGCTTGGCTTCTTATTTCATGGAGAAACCAGATTCACTCAAATATCTACTTTGTCACCCTTACCCTCCCAATCTGCTAATTCGCCCTCCACCTGTATCCACAGGCTCTGACTGCCTCCCTCTTTCAGTGATGAGCTCTCTCTGCTTCTAGCTAAGGCCAACCCTGTCCTGGATCTGTCCCCTGCCCTACTCAAGGACTTGGCTCTGCAGGTTTCCCTTCTCCCAGCATCATCAAATTTCCCGCCATAGACAAGTAGGGTTATTCCCACCAGCACACAAACATCCTAAAATATTTTTCAACCTAAAACACAAATAAAACCTCCTTTGACCCCTCATGTTTCTAGCGACTGCTTCTATCCTCTGACATCCTTGACAACAAAACTCTTATGTACTGTTTTCCCTGCTGACCCCCTTCTTGCCTTTCCTTTGAACCCACTCCAATTAGGCTTTATCTCCCTCAGTCCTCCGAACCTGCCCTTTGTCAAGATCATCAATGACTCTGTATCGCCAAATCCAGTGGCCAACTCAGTCTCTTACTTTGAAAGCCATTCCACATAGTCTTCTATTAGTAATGTCAAATGCTGTCCTCAGCTTCTTTTCTCAGAAATGTTTTTAATTCACTTGCTCCACTCCTAGGAAAGGGGCATTAGACGATAAACTGCCTGAAAGGAGAGGTTACTTAATCCTCTGCTAGAATTTCCATGTCAAGGCCAGAGCGAAGCACATCGTCAGAGCTGACTAAGCAGTGGTTGAATGAACGAACAATGGCACAACTCAGTCTCAGGCCTAAGGGGGGCACGAGCTGATGCAGAGTTGAGTCTCTTTATCTGTGGTAGTTACGGTCTGTAAAGTCACAACGGACACTAGGTTAGTGAACACTGATCCATCGCTCCTGGGGGAAATACAGACAGACTTCCTGCAGCTGCCAGTCCCAGCACTTTCATCAACTGGTCAAGGCATGCTTCTGCTTACAGGCAGCTTCCTGAATATATATTGTTGATTCATTCACACAGAAACTCATGGTAACAGCACTGACAGTCATGCTGACGCCCACGAGGCACGTCACAGCCTTCCTGTACTTGGGACACCTGATGGCCCTTCAGCACTGCTGTACTTGGGAGCCATTTTAACCAAGGAAATCACCACCAAAAAGCACAAAAATGAAACAACACGGCACTAAATAGACTGAAAAAGACGCCTGTTGACAGTGTGAGCGCTGGGACACGGCTGCAGAGGGCTGCCTTGCTCAGCCTGAGCTGCGAGTGAGTGTCAGGGGGCTCCGTGTTTTGCCACTGTTCATGTTTGTGAAGGTGGTGAAAGCACCCCCAAAATTGGTTTTGGGGTTATAAGTACGTGTTAGCCCGAGGCGAATTCATAAATAATGAGCACTGGCGCTCTTCCCCTACCTTTCCGGGGCATGCGCAGTGCAGGCCAAAGGCTTCTCTCCTGGGTCAACCCACGGCTGCGTGGGCTGCACGGTGCACGGGATCAGGTAGATGGAGTACTCCCCCGAGTAGTCCTTCCTGGGAACACGCAGGGCAGACCGCGTTAGGGGGCGCGTTATCGATTACTCACTCACCCAGAGGCGCACCGAGCTCGCTGAACGGTTTTCAGATGGTAAGAACTTTACAAGTCTGCAAACACAACTTTCAGGAATTCATCACTGATTTTTCTGATCTTCAGCGTATTATCCAGGTGTTAATAGAGCTACTTTCATCTATTCAAGTTCTTTTCATGAGGAAAGCTGGGAAAGACACACTGTTTATAAAACCCTAAAAGGCCCAGGTGAAGACAAACAGAACTGGCCACTTCCTGTAGATTTTCATCAACTTGTTGGACAATTTCAGTTCAGTGTTTCTTGTTGAGCGACACCCTGTTCAACGCATTCTCAGCTGCAAAAGCTTTATTAACATGTAACCGTGCCAGATGCTCCTCTCCTAGGAGGGGTAGCAAATGCCTGCCCTCCAGAGGAAGTCCCTACTCCCATTTTATTAGCACCCAGTTTTCTGGCTCAGCTCCCAAGCTACAGCGTCATCCCTTTAGGAGGCTGGAGCACAGTATCACTTCTCAAGGACAGCATGGGCTGGGAACCTCCTTGCTTACGGAGGGTGCAGGGCTCTGCAGGCGTGACACCTGGGCCTCACCTACTTCATTTCCCACACTTGCCATTGACTAGCAGTGTAGCCCTGGCAGGATGCCTGGAAGGCGGCCAGACATGCAGAAGCTTCCTGGAGATTCTTCAAGAGCCTTGGGAAGCTGCCATCCATTGAGAGAGGAGCGCAGGGCTGAGAATCTTAATCATCACTGCTGTGAGCAATCTGCAAAGGCTCCTCACACCCACGTGTTCATTCTTTGACCATTTCTTTTGTATTATTTATATCTGTTTATTACTAAAGTGATAGCAAAGATTTGGTAAAACATTAATTAAATAAAACTTTTATTTAATGTAGTGAGAAGGCCGGATTTGAGGTGAGGCTAGAAGGTAGAGGATGGGCCTTGTACAAAGAGTTGGGCTTTAGTAGGTGGTGGGGAGTCAGCAGAGGATTAAAGGGGACACTTTCTTTATTTATAAGTTGGAACAAAGTACATGCATAATCTGATATAAGACCAAAAATTTATGGCCCTGACTGGGTAGCTCAGTTGGTTAGAGCATCATCTCGATATTCCAAGGTTTGATTCCCAGTCAGGGTACATATAAGAATCAACCAATGGGTGCATAAATGAATGGAACAACAAATCGACGTTTCTCTCTCTCTCTCTCTCTCAAATAAATAATAAAAAGACCAAAAGTTTATAATTAAAGAAATCTTTTTGGCCCTGGCCAGTGTTGCTCAGTGGTTAGAGCATTGGCCCATGCACCAAAGGATTGTGGATTCGATTCCTGGTCAAGGGCACGAACCTGGGTTGCAGGTTTGATCTGAAGCTCTGGTGGGGGCAGGTGCAGGAGGCAACCAATCAATGCGCCTCTCTCACATTGATGTTTCTCTCTCTCTCCTTCTCTCTCCCTTCCACTCTCTCTTAAAAAAAAAAAAAATCAATGGGAAAAATATCCTCAGGTAGGATTAACAGCAACAACGGAAAGAAATCTTTTTGAAAATAATTCTCAGGACAACCTGCCACTTCTTAAATATAGAGCTAGAATAACATTTTCATGCAAATACAGATCTTACCTTCATGATCTATGATGCGGGGATAATGATATTTACGAGGTTCTTGGCTCCCCACTATTCTTTCCATGGTAGCGGTTTTAATTTTGTTTTCCCTATTTTTTCCTTTTACAAATGGGGTACTTTACTGTATTTACCCAATTCTTATTTTACCTCTGTGTTGGGTGTGGGAAGGAATATTGTTATTTATTTTATGGGACACTAGACCATAAGGAGTGGCATCTGGACCTAATAATCAGAGATACTGAAATTTTCCCTGCTCGTGGCAATTAGAATGAAAATTCCTTTATTACACTAAAATTTCAGTTGGCCACATTTCCCAGCTTCCCTTGCAGGCAGAAGTGCTATATGATTCAGTTCTAGCAAACGGGATGTGAGTGAAAGTGATATATGCCCTGCCTGGTCTTACCCTTAGGACAAGGGTGAGTGCCTCCTGGTTTATTTTTTGGTCAGAAGGTGATCTGAGCTACATTTGTTTCCTTCTCTATTTGCCAGAGTGTTGTTTCCATCTCTCCTCCTTTTAAATAGAAATTAGATGACTGGACAAGAAGATGTGACACACATATGCAACAGAATGCTGCTCAGCCATAAGAAAGGATGACACACTGCCATTTGTGACAACATGGATGGACCTTGAGAATACTATGCTAAGTGAAATAAGTCAGTCAGAGAAAGCTAAGAACCATGTGATTTCACTCATATGTGGGAAATAAAACTGAAACTCACGGACACAAACAATGGTATGGTGGTTCCCAGGGGGATGGGGGGTGGGAGGGTGGTGAAGGGTAAAGGGGGCCTAATATACGGTGACAGAAGATGATCTGACTTCAGGTGATGGGCACACAATGCAATATACAGATCATGAATCATAAAGATTCACTTGAAACCCACATGATCTTATTAATCAATGTCACCCCAATCAATTCAGTTTAAGAATCCAGTCTTTGAGGAAAGGCCCTATTTACTAAGCTCCTAAGGAATCCGCACACCCGCTGGGCCCCCGGCGGTCACCTGTTGTAAGAGCTCGTGGCTCTCCAGAGCTGGTGCGGGGAATCGAAGGTCTGGGCGCTCCACAGCAGCTGCAGGCTGAACTCCATGCCGCCCAGGTGGTCGGGGGTCATGATGAAAGACTTCACCTCCGGCAGGGTGTGGTGCTCCATCACAAACTGCCCTATTTAAAGCGAAACGCATTCACTTACTGTGGGCTCTATTGTACTTGTGGTGATGCCCCACTCCTCGTAGAACTGAATTCATATTCTTCAAACAGCTAAGGTTATACCCCTTGGTCCTCAGAACATAATCCACACTGGTCGGGCCAGTGCGGCACCTCACCTCAGTCCCCCTCCTCCTTGTGATGGGCTTTATGGTGGCAGAGATTTACTAATGATACGAATGTGCCTGTGGAAAGGGAGCTAACGAGAATATTCTGAATAATAGGGGTCCTTATGTGACGATCAACATTGAATAAACTTAGCATCGAATTCCAACCAACATGTTTCTTAGATGTAGAAAGGTCTCAGTAGTTTATAAATAGAAATACCAAATTTGGATTAAAAAAATCTCATTTAGCCCCACTCAAGTCCTTGATGGAGAGAGACACTTGTAAACATGATTAAAAAGGTAAATGTTGCTCAGCAAATCACCTCTGTCCTTTAAAACGGCAGTCACATAGTGTCATGAATAAAGTAGGGACACGATTCTAGATTAAAAGAGACTAAATTGATATAACAACCAAAATGTAGCATGAATCTTGATTGGATTCTTCCTTTTATATCAACAGATATAAAATAAATATAAACTAATATAAAAACAAGTAGAAAAGACGCTTGGGGTACAATGGAGAAAATGTGAATAGGAAATTGATAGCATGGGGTCAGAGTCCAATATCTTGGATGCGGTAATGCTATTGTGACGTGTAGGAGATGTCCCTGTTCTCAGATGATGGCTACTGAGGTACTCAGGGTCACCTGACACACAGCCTGCAGTTTGTTTTCAAATGGTGTGACAAAACACGGGTGTGCATGTGTGTATGTGCACACACACATAGCAAAACGCTAACAGATGTTGACTCTGCTTTTAATTGTTCTGGTCTTTGAACTCTGTCCTACGTTCCAAACGCTTCTTAATAAGAAGCTGAGGAGAGCCTGGCTCACGGAGGGCGTCATCCGTGCATGGGGAGGCTGCTGGTCCCATTCCCGGGCAGGGCACACGCCTGGGTGGCAGGCTCACCCCTGGTCCGGGGCGTGCAGGAGGCAGCAGATCCAAGTTTCTCTCTTACAGCGATGCTTCTCTCGCTTAAAATCAATTAAAAAAATCTTAAAAAAAGTACTAAAAGTCCTGGCTGGTTTTGCTCCGTGGTTAGAGCATCGGCTCTCAGACTGAAGGGTCCTGGGTTTGGTTCCGGCTGCAGGCTCCATCCCCAGCCCCAGTTGGGGGCCATGCGGGAGGAAACCAATGGATGCGTCTCTCTCACATCCATGTTTCTCTCTCTCTCCCTTCCACTTTCTCTAAAAAGCAATGGAAAAAGTATCCTTGGGTGAGGATTTAAAAGAAAAATTAAAAACAAACAAACAACTAAGACAAGTTGAGGAGAACAACAGCCCTGCCATTACCTCTGAACTTGGCATGGGTCTTGAATTCAATGACGAGGCGGCCATCCTCTCGAATATAGATTCTTAATATTTGAAGCCTCGCGGAGAGCACACTGTCTGTCTGGATTCCTGGGCAGAAAACCATGCACAAAACATGCAAGTTAGGGCGTGGAGAAGGCCTCCCAAACAGCAGCTGTCATGGAAGCTATCCCAGTGACACCTCTAAGCAGACATACATGTATTTGAATGTAGCGTAAGAAAACATTTATATAGTCATGTGAGCACAGGGTCTAGTTAGAGGCATTTGCCAATTAAAATTGTAGGACAGTTCATTCTATTTGTTCCTTCCCCAGCTGTACTCTCCATGACATAGCTCTTTATACCCATAAGTGCCACCGGCCCAGATGCAGGGCCCCAGCCCAGAGCTCAGAAGAAAGTGATTCTTGAAACTTCTTCGGTCAGCTTTCCTCCAGGATGTGGTTACAACACATCTGCTTCAGAGTATATTTTGTGTTCCCCACTGGGACACCTCTTAGGATGGAACAGAACCCTAACCAAAGCCTTGGCGCCTGCGTTCAGTATTCAAGCCAATGGGGAATTAAGGATCACCTTGGCAGGCAGCTACAGTGGCACGACAGGGGTAAGCTGTAGCTTCAGTGAAGGCAGTTGCGATCATGATACCAATGGGTTCAGTTTGACCAAATATTAAAGGGTAACCAAAGGAAGGGGAGAAAAAGTTAAAAAACAAAACATTAACAAAAAACCCCAAGGCTTAAGGACTTATCTGACTCAAAGTATGAAAACTTCCTGAAGTTATTTTCCTATGAGAAGTATAAAGCAAATAAATGATTTGAGCTTAAATCATTTAACAGAAGAAAGGACTATCCTTTCCATGACTAGAAATGTGGCCTATCTAAAGAAAACTCCTGCAGCCTTTCAGTATCTCTGCCTCTGATCAAGTAAATCATCTCTAGGGAGGGCGAGAGGCAGGATGAGAGCAGCAGAAGGGAATTGAACTGGGGGTAATATTTCAAGTACAGGACACTGAAAATGGGAAAAAGGCAAAAAATAACTGAGAGCCATTGGAGGAGTGGAGGAGAGAATCATTCAGTTTTAAGGAGCATTCATGTGGTAGCAGGGGGAGAAGGTGGGTTGGGGAGACCTTACTCTCTCTCTAAAATCAATGAAAACATATTTTTAAAAAAATTATTTAAAAAAATTCAGCATTGAAATCCTTAAATAAAAGTAAGGTTAAAGTCCTTTTAAAAAATACTTTTAAGAGTGCAACAGAAGAGCAAGCTCCAAGCCAAGTGAATAAAGTGAGCTAAGTTGATACATTTTTCTATTTCCATGTATCGAATCTGAAAACACTTTTTGCTTCTTAAACATGAATCACACCTTTTTTTAGCTAAAAGAAAATGTACATGATTATGTTCCAAGAGAACACACACTCCTTGGGACCCCTAGTGGGCAGTACAGGCCCACCTGTTACTTGCCCGCCTCTACTCTGGGCCCCTGGCTATCTGGCTGAGCTCCTCGCTGGAGGCCTCCCCTCGTCAACGTGTACGGACCTCGCCTTGTTCAGGAACCACAGTTCTGTGCACTTCCCAGGCCCCAGGCAGCCCTCCTTTGACTGTACACAGAACAACGGGATAATGAATGCAGCTCCCGTTAAAAGTCACTACTTCAGCTTTTTTTCTTTTAATCTTGCTGGACAATGAGGTGGAACAGTTAAGAGGTCAGGGGGTGTACCTGTTCTCCAGAGAACAGTGTCATAGAAGAAGGAAAACTCCATCTCTGTGTGGTGCTCCAAGGAGGCCCAGCCCCTGGGGGCTGTCACGTAGATGTAGGACACGTAGAGAGGCACGTGCACTGTCAGGAACGACTGGGCAGAGTCTCTCACCTGCCAAGCAAACGGTGTGCACACAGGGAGGATGATTTCTTCCCCGGGGTGAAAAGGCCGGCAATCAACACATCTCAGTTTAATCTTCACTCATGTAATTAGTCACTCACTCATTAATAATTACTAATTAAGTGCCCACGATTGTGGCAGGTACCAGGTTAGGAGCTGGGCTCTCCTCAGTGAAAAGACCCAAGTTACTGCCCTTATGGAACCTACAGTCTAGTAAGGAAGATATGTCAATTTAAAAAAATAAAGTAAATAAAGGGATGGGAAGTGGCCAGGGTGTTTCTTAGGTAGGGAGAGCTGGGAAGGCTTTTCTGAGGAGGTGACACTTGAACAAAAACTTTCGAAGAGTGAGAAGGAGCTTTGTCTCCACTGTTTAGCTGCTGGAAGCCTTGGCTGAGACTTTAGATTTCACAATCACCCCTAAAGACCTGACCAGGCAGACCTGGGGTGTACTGTCAGCACACAGTCCTTCACTGACTGTACTCTGCAGCGAAAGTAGGAAAGCCTGAATTAACCCCAGCCAGGGAGATGCCCAAGTCTGGACCCTCGGGATGAACGTGTGGCTGACTTGGATGTTTAGTGAGTACTCGCAGCTCCTGCTCCAGGAACACAGGTTGTGGGATCTGGGAACTTAGCGACAGCTCAGAGCTGCATATGCTTGGATAATTTCCCACCTCACACAATGTTGTGTTGCAGTAGCTTTGAAAAGGCAGAATGCCATACTTCTGAAAGAACACTTCTTCTAAGGGGGTTCCTGTTATGCTATTAGGTTGGCTCAGTAACTTTTATTTTACTATGCAATGAACGAAACCCGGGTGGAAAAATAACATGAGCAGGAGGCTTCATGGGGAAGCTAACTATACATATGTGTATGAGTGGGGGAGCTGGTTTATTATATTTTAAAATGTTTTATATTTTTCTTCATAAATATATCTTTCTTTTATAACAAAAATCTTAGTGTCAAACAATTTTACTTTTTCATTAGCCAAATACACTATGGAACTTATATATTTTTTTGTTCAAAAATACAAATGTAAAGTGTTTCCATGGGTAAATAAGGGAAAGAGCCAAATGCTTTATTAATATTTAGGTAACCAAAATTTTATTTTTCTAAAGTATTTTTTCATATTCAGTGTTGTCAGGGATTTAAAATTTGATTCCATTTTTTTCAAAAGACTATTAATTCCACATTCATTTAAAAATATCTTTTGAAATGCCTTATTCTGTTTTCTTTAGAAAATCCCCAGATTTTATCTGGGTTTTACCCATGTGCTGTCCCCTTAATATACAGGTTTTGCTAAATACACTTGCCCTACGCTCACAATTGCAGATATCAGAATCCATATAACTTCTCCAGGTGACTGGCAAAATTAATTTTCCCTCCTCTGTTTCTGTTTCTTCTCTTTTAATCTTCATATAACTTAATAATTAAAAAGAAAAACATCCCTGACAAATATTACTGCAGGCCTGTTTTGTGCCAGACACTGTGTTAGATGCCTTCCCATGTCGAGATTATTAGTGACTACTTCAGATGAGGTTCAGAGAGGTTATGACTCATCCAAGTCTGCTGATATTTGATAAAGATATGAAGTAGGGCTTGGTTCCAAGTTCTATAGTCTTTCTACCATATATCAGCTGTTTCAACTCTTTTAAAGAAATAGACAATGGCCTGGCTGGAGTGGCTCAGTTGGCTGAGTGTCATCCCATGCACTGAAAGGCTGGTGGTTCGATTCCCAGTCAGGGCACATACCTGAATTTCGGGTCTGATCCCCAGTCTGGGAGCTACAGAAGGCAACCGATAAGTGCCTGTCTGTCCATCTGTCTCTCTCTCTCCCCCTTCTTCTCTCTAAGCATGGCCTCAGGCAAGGATTAAAAAAAGAAAGAAAAGAAACAGGCAACAATGAAGTATTCCTGTGTATATAGTCTTTCTGTGTTGGTATAAGAAGTAGGACATATGTGATAAGATCCTTGTCTTTGAGATTTTCAAGCATAGTCTGATCAAAAATAGCCAAAAATATAACCAAAGTGAAATCATGAAGAAGAGAAAATACTAGCTTTTGAGGGGCCAGGGAAGGAACCAATCACTCGGTTTTGCATTTTCAAAATTGAACGTAGCATATAAAATTGAAAGAAAACCTAAGAATGCCTCAAAATTCTACTCAGTAGAGGGCAGTAGTGTATACAAGATGAGAGTTAACCAAAATGAGAGGCATGGCAAAGAAAACAAATTTGATTCAAAGGCACGTTCCCTAAACGATTACTCTAAGTCCCTCTGCAAGTTCCCTCTTTCAGTGTGGCTAAACCTGATTTGAAATGAAGACCAAACGTGTAATTTTTAGTTCTTTAAGGTAATTGCTCAAAATTGGGTAGAACGTACTTTAGAATTATTTTCCTATGAGGACGCATTAGCCTAGTCCCTTTGATATAACTGCCTTAGAACTGTGGCTTCTTGCTAGAAAAATTTTCTTTTGTCACTGATGTTTAATGACTATTAAAAAGGGTCTATTTTTGCAAGGGTTGCCAGTTTAGAATAGATATGAAATCAAGGTGTTTTAAACAATTATCTCTCCATAAGTCTTAGGACAACATGTTCCACTTACCTGTCATTTTAACTCATTCCCCCAGGTAGGGAAGAGAACACATCTACTTAGTAATAACTCTACCATAAAATATAAATCGTTCTGGCTTTCCAAAATATACCCAGAGGAAAAAACATATATACTCAGAAAAGTAAATATTAGATTTTCATATAAATGACTGTGTCAGACAGTACATTTTTTCCACATTAATTGGAACATTTTCCATATTACTTTTCCACCTAGTTGATTTCAAGGACTCTGGGAGGCTCTCTAGCTGCGCTGCTGCTGAGGTCTCACCTGAGGGCCTCATAAAGAAGACTCCCCGAGTGGGTTGGGCAGTTCTGGGGGCCACTGGATGCAACATGTTAACTGAGCTGCTTCAGGAACAAACAGGTTTCACCGGGCACCCAGGTGCGCAGCCTTCAGACAAGGCCTGGAGCACCCACCTGGAAGTCGGCGGTTACAGACCCCCCGCAGACGTCGATTAACTCGGTCATGTCGTAATAGGCATCAAAGGTCCAGACGCAGCTCTTCAGGTTGAGGTGTTTGTAGAGCTGGATGGTCTTGGGCTCCCTGACACTGGCGTCAAACTGGAAGGGGCGGTCGTAGCCAGGCCCCATGGCTGTGCTGTCATAGACCTTGTCATCCAGGAACCCTGCATCTGTAGGGGAGGGAAGGACAAGAAACAGTAACTCAGGGTGCAGACCTGCCTCTCACTGGCCGTCCAGAAGCTGGGTGGGGAGAACCTGACCTTGAGGGAGCTTTCCCTCCACCTGAAGCTCTGTTAACAGAGCCCCCAGGGCTCCCAGCACACTCGGGGAGAAGGCACTGGAGTTGGCTAACTGCCTGCTGCCACCTGTGGGAGCGACTGGGTTTACAGACTCCCCTACGGGTCTGCAGGAACCGGGAAAGAAAAGGTGAACAAATGATTCCATAACTGAAGACAGCTCGGTGGCCCTGCTTATCTTGGAAAAGAAAACACTGAATCTTTGCCTGTCACGCCTGGCAAGTCTGGTTCTGTGCCTCACAATCAGTCCTTGAAGAAATGGGTTTACTATATAATTTGTTGATGAGTTATTATTTTTCTAAGACCGATTTTTATAAAACAGCTTTTATGTAAAGCCAACAAACATCTGACTATGCACTGCGCCCTGCCCCCCACAAAGTTCCTGAACTCTTGGGAAAAAAGTCTTAATTTTGTGTTAATGAGTAAATATCTGGTTAGTGATGCTTGACTAAATCCTGACACAGGCAAAAATTATTGGATCAAATGCTGCCAAGCAACTGAACTACTTTAAATTAAGGAAGACCTTTATGCAGCAGAGAGCTAAATACAGACACAATTTTAGAACGTCGGGGTTGAGGTTCCTAGAGTCCTAAAAGCAGCTACAGCATTCTGAGGGAGCGCATACATTTCTTCGACTGTCCGACAGCACCCAACCCTCCGCCACGAGGACTAGGATCTCAGTTCCACGTGCTGAATTGAATTGTTCAAGTGGAAAGAGGTGCAGACTTTCAGCCTACAAACAAGTGCGTTTCTTTCACTAGCTGCATGTGTGGACCAATTCAACTTGCAAGTGTAGCTCAGTGACTTGGGAATAATTTACACTCAACTAATTTCTACTGTATCAAGAGCGTCCCTCCCTGAAGTGATGCTTAATGAATATGAAAGAACATACGAATGCTTTTCGATCTCCAAAAACACTGTTAAATGACTCATCAGTTGGGAAGGCAGGAGGAGCCCATGGAAGGAGCACTTGCTAAGGTAAATGGAAAGGGACAGGATTCTTAGTAAAGTGACATGTCTGCAGTGGGACAGGCTCCACCCCAGCAGTCATCTCCTCCAGGTCTGCATCGGCCTTAGGGCCGCTCAGCCTGAGGTCAGGCCCGCTCAGCCCGGGGTCAGGCCCTAGCTGCATCCAGGGAATGACCCAGGCAGGTGGAAAGGTGGCGGGGTGGGCAGAAAGGTCTGTCCAGTCCAGTCGGCTCTCTCCCAGGCTCCCAGCGGAGCTGGTCCAGGCCTTGTCAGGCTGCACTGCAGCTCAGCTTCTCCCTCCGCCCGGTCCTGCTTCCTCCCCTTCCTTTGCACAGGCTTGATTCCTAATAAACATCTTGGCTCCCAACTCCATCTATGCTCCCGCTCCCGGATAACACATCCTATAACAAGTAACATCTGCACTTGAGCTTCCTAAAGATGCTTCGAGAATGGGGTTTTTGGGCACAGATCCAAACATGCTCACAAGAGGGGAAGGAAGGAAGGAAAATTTACCACGGTCTGCGCTTTAAAAATGTCAACGCATGTAAGCCAGTGAAAGAAAGACAAATACCAAATGATTTCACTTCTATGTGGAATCTGAAGAACAATATAAAGGAACAAACAAAGGAGAAACAGCCTCATAGATACAGAGAACAGATTGGTGGTTGCCAGAGGGGAGGGGAGTTGGGGGACTGAGTGAAAAAGATGAAGGGATTGTGAAATACCAACTGGTAGGTACAAAACAGTCACAGGGATGCAACGTACAGCAGAGGGAATACAGTCAATGATATTGTAATAACTATGTACAGTGCCAGGTGGGTACTGGGAATATCAGGGGAAACACTTAGTAAAGTACATGATTTTCTAACCACTGTGCTGTGCCCTGAAACTAATATAAAACAATATTGAATGTAAACTGTAAGTGAAAAAAATTGTTTTTTTAATTAAAAAAAGATAAAAATGCTGGTGCATTTAACCTCGCCTTCATTGGTATCCACTGTTTCCTCCTGTTTTAGATAAGAAAAGAATGGCTGGGGGAGGTCCTGCTACTTTTGTTCAGTTGCGTGGGTAGTGGACCAAGGATGTGAACCTGTCGGTTTAATTCCAAAGTCCTTGTTTTTGCCTTTTCATGTCACTGCTGGGCGGCTTAGGTTTGGTGGCCTGCTGGGAAGGAAATCCACTAATCCCGCAGATCTTGGGGCTGGGAAGTCACGACAAGCAGGGCTGAGCGAGGCCACCGTGCCGTGCAGGACGCGCCTCACCTGAGACGCTTCTCAGGTCGCGGGCGGTGGCGAGGTTGGAGCAGACGTGCTGGCGCCTGTAGACGGACTCGGACAGCAGGAAGTGCAGGTTGTGCAGGGGCAGGGTGGAGATGAGGGGCAGCATCCCGTCCTGGTGCGGGATCTGCACCGAGATGTGGATCCTGGGGGAGGCAGGGACACACGTTTAGGCGCGCTGTCAGCGGTTCGTACGGCGCATTTCTTTCTCAAAGCCCGCTTTGCCTTCACCAGCGAGTTTCCCAGTGTTTTGTCCCCCAAAGCTTTCCATGCGGTAAGGTCTCCCTCTGACCATGGGGCTCTGCTGCGCACGGAGGGTTGTTTTTCCCCCAAGAGGTCCTTCAGACTCAGGCCCGGTAGCAGTCAAGATCATAGATTTTTTTGTTCAATACAAGAAAAGGTAAACATCCCAACCCCAAATTACTTTAAAGTTTTCTTTTGCTTTAAATGGGAGCTTTGTTTCCTCACGAGCCAAAGCTGAGTGACGGATGCAGGTGCTGCTCCCCTTCCGTCAGTGAGTGTGTGTAGGCTGGCAGGGTCGACACTAGTATTTCTTAAAAAATATGTATTAAAAATGTATTTTTAAAATAAAAAGACATCACTGAGCTCTTAAATGCTAAGGCCAATATCCCTATGGAGGAAAGTATCTTAGAAGCGGTAATATCCCACTGCTCACTGTCCCCCGAGGCTGAAAGAACCCCCCCCCGGCCTCAGTCTGCGCATCCCCCCATCTACATTCCTCAGCATCTGAGTGCCTTTGTGCCAGACACTCTGTACCTTATTGACACTGGCTGCTACTTCTTGTATGTTTTCAGACTGTTTATCTTGCCTCCCCACTCTGAGGACCAGAACCATTTCCTTCCCTTCTTTTGTTTCTCTAGAGTATGTAGTTTGCAATTCTAAATAAAATATAAGCTTAATAAATATTGGTTGAGACTACACCACAGTGGACTTGTAGTTAGAGGCTACATTTTTTCATTGTACAAGTTTAAATTTCCAGAATGTTTATTGAGGTGCGTTTTGAATTTCTGCAGCTTATCTCTCAGAGCAAAGACCCATATTAATATGAGGAATTAGAATTTAGGAATATAAACAGAATGGCTGTTGGTCAGTAGTGCCCTGGGTACTTCTGTTATTGCTTTTTAACAAAGATAAATTTTACTCTGTTGGAACAAAAGAAGAATCTGCATATTCTTAGCCACATATTCAAATCTGTTTTTTCCCCATGCAAATGAACCCCTTTCCCTGAACTCAGTTGCTCATAAAGGCACACATATAAATACTATGAGGTTTAATGAATATGTGCAACATACATGACTTCTTTCTTTCCTATACAAAAATGAAAGTATTCATCTTCCACCAAAATCATGGTGGCACAGGAAAATATAAAAGCATATCTGTCCTCAGAGGTGCCAAGAAGCAAATGTCCTAGGCACAGGGGATACAAATAATCATGGTCCCTGCCCTCACCATCTGTTATGGGGACAGAGAACTGACGATGATAATGCTCTGAAAGAGGCATGTGGGTGCCAGAAGAGCTGGAAGGAGGGGCTTCCAAATTAACTTGAAGGTGGCGATGAAAAAGTTCCTAGAAGAGATGCCATGAGCTAGGTATAGTAGGACAACTGGACCTAACTACACTGAGTGGAAGGGGGTGGGAGATCTGGAGTCAGGAGTAGCGACATAGCTGGAATGCCACTGGAGTTTGAGGCCCTGGGAAGTCACGGTGATTGTCCGTGGGTGGACTGGCAGGTGAGCATGACAAGGTGAGGGACATGAGGCTAGGACAGGCAAGGGGCCAGATCTTAGGGGGCCTTTGAAGCATGCATAACCACTACACCTATTTTGCTGAAGTATCGCTCTTAGACCTGCCCTGCCTAGAACACACACCCAGCACAGCCGAGACTCACGCTACCCTTCACTGCCGGAGGGACAGAGCAGCCTGACCTGTTCGGATGCTCCTTCTGTTTGACATCCAAGTATTTCAGGGTTGCGATGAAGGACTGAGCCTGGAAGCCTCTCGCGGTCCCAGCCACCACGGGGGTGTGGCAGATAGCACTGTCTGTTCCGATAGTGACGATGTTGCTCCTTAAGGGGGTCCCCACGTGACCCACTTTGTCTACAGCCTTTGCCACACAACGCACATGGAACCTCCGGCTGAAGTAAATGCTATCCAGGACCTATGGGGAAGAATGAAACACCTCAGATGTGTGTACACTACTTACCCAGCTCCTTAAAATCTATCTTCTGGATGATATGACACAACCAGTTCCTGGTACAAGATGCTCTGTGAAGACAATCCACCACCCATCATCCATCCATCTACCCACCACGTAAGTACTGAGTCTACCAGGAGCCAGGCACTATGCACAGAGTGGTGAGTCCTCACAGCCTAAGTCAGTAAGGCAGACACTGAGCAAGTAGACATGTGGGAAGCAAGGGCCCAGACGGCACAGTGCTGTTCTCTTTATATGTTAAGTTCAGCATAAGGACCGCTCAATTGGTTTTCAGCCCTTCTAAGCAAGAGCCATTGGCACCCCCAAGTCAATTTTGTTTATGTCGTGGTGTCAGGATGCAGGGGAACGACGCTTTCTTCCCAGGCATTCTTAGTTTTCTTTGTCTCCTACTGCTTTTCCTCCTCCAGCCCCCTCCTGATGACCATACACATTGCAAGGGTTACAATAACATGCAGCCTTGATGCTGAGAACTTGGCTTCTGACACCTACTGGCCTTTGAAGGGCTTTCTACAGACTCTTTCATGCTCCCAGACATGCAGAAGCCATAAGAGTGCTTAACTCGATCTATGCAGAGGCAAGGTAGGTGACCAGGACTCTTAGGTTATGTGTGCAGACACACAGAGAAGCAAATAACAGGGGGAACTAATTAGTAGTCCTGTGTGCCATAGACCTCCCACAAAGCAAACATACAAACTTATAAATTCTACCCATGAAAACAATTTTCATTGAAGTCTATTAAAAATTAAAGAAGATTTTTCCATTAAAAATTTTAATGAGCTGACAACACCTTATTTGTTTATTTATACATGGACTTAGTTCAGAAGGGATTTGAGGCAGCTTACACAAATGCATAAAATACAGTAATATTAAATAAATAATTGAAGAAATAAAGATAGAGCAAAGGAAAGTAAAAGTATTAGTCACCACTTCATTGCAAGAAGGAAAACTGAAATATAAAGTAAAATTGTGAACTTGGTACCTGTGAAAAATGTGTATTTGGCTCAAATCAGACCAAGCTCCCTTCATGGTTTTGTTGAATGAAGAATTAGGTACTTATGAATCAGTACACTGTGAAGTCTTACCATTTCAGGATTTTAATAAGATAGAAGATATTCTAAATGTGAGCTAGGTTATGTTGAAAAAGACTTAACCTTTTAGCCTTTCTAAATAAGCTGTGCCAAAGCCATGGGCATGAGTGACCTCCCTTTATCCAAAGCCTCCCATCTATGTCCAATAGCTCCCCCCACTATTATCCCATTGAAGCGATGCACTTATTGAAGTCAGAACAAACTGTGGGTTGAATAGAAAAAAATTGAGAGAAATTCATCTCTCCAATTTCCAATATTATGAAGTGCACTAATTTTAGTCAAAAATCACTGAGTGCTTACTCTGTGCGAGACACTGGGCTGAGCCTGCATCTCCATTGCTTCCAGCTCTCTCTGAAGGGAATGAACTGCCCTGGTGCGCTGGGCAGTCTCTGTGGTGCACTTTTCCTAAGCTTGGGACAACCATCCCCCTTGGCTGCTCTCTGGTGGTGGCCGAGGTGTTGATCTGGTGTCCTAACTCTTTGAAGACAGCAACTACACTGTGCACTCCCTTTCATGCTCTCTGACAAGACTGTAAAACACTGATCACTCAATACGAATTTTATTTTTTTGTCTAATAACTGGTCCCTACTATGTGCCATCAATGTGCTGGTCACTTTGGGATATACAAACGTGGTATATGTCCTTGGTCCATGTCCTTAAGGCGTTTTTAGCCTACTACTTATTGAACAATTAAAGAGATGTGAACAAAAAGTAATCATTAATTGTACCTGCCTGGAACCTTTGACTTACTAATGCCATTTATAGGTCACTTTTATATCTGATTTGTCAACCACCTTGTCAAGTGGCTAATTGGAAGAGGTATGATTTAGCAGATCAGGAAACTGAGACTCAGAGAGGTTAAGCCACCTCTTAACATCACATAATTAAAATCAGACAGAATTAAGATTTGTAAACAGGCTGTCTAAATACTAGCTCAGCTCTTTCTACAACACCATATTACCTTCCTTAAATATAAAAAGACTGTGTGTAACTGTTCATTTGTTGATTTTATTCCAAATGCCACACATGGGTCTTAGGGAGTTTGACAGAGTCAGAGTAACAAAGAGAGATACCAGTTCTCTCCCAACACAACCAGGCCCAGACCCCAGACCTACCATGTGGTTGACACTAGTAAACGGTGTGTTGTCGGTGATGGTCTCAAAGGGAGACCGGGCCCCGTTGCCATCGGTGGGGGTGGCCACCTCCCAGCTGAACTGCACAGATGTCTGGTTGATGCCGGCCTCGCTGCAGCGCTCCCTTGTGATGACATACTTGGGAAAATGAGGGTCGCAGGGGGTGACACAGATCAGTGGGTAGCCTGGAGAGGGAGATTTCTTGACTCCTTCCTTGGTAATTTCTTCCACATGGTCATAGTCCGCAAGTGTGACAACCTGCAAAGGAGCAACAAAGAAGCTTCGGCCTGGGTTGGCTACTGGGAAGGTTGGAGAACTAAGGCTCTGCAGGACCCACAAGATCCCTTAACTTCCAGGGATTCTCGAAAATATAATAGGAGTTTACAGTGCTTTACAGAGCATCCCCAGAAGATACTGCAGACCTTAGGCAGCGGAGAAGATCTTCCTGCTACCCAGCTAAAAGCTTTATTATCTTACTAACATTAGTCCTGAGGCAGAGCTCTATCACTCATGTGGAAAATACTTTTATTTTCCTGCACACTGTAAATGAAGCTATATCATGAATGGCAGTTACTAGTTTAAAGTTGCATTAAATTGTTAATGGTATGCAGTAGCACACGGCGGAGTAGGAGTGGATAGAGGTAGTGTATTGCTTCCATGGTCAGTCAAGAGACACATTTGGGAATGGTCCTTCTAGTCTGAGCCTAGTCAGGGGAGGTTAGGACACTTACTCTGCCTGCTTCATTACTATGGCTTACACCCCCTGTGGCAACCTCCAGGCATTTCCCTCCTCAGTATACAGTCAGTGCATTCATTCCATACATCCCCCAGTTGGGAATCACGGTGCCGCATTTCTACAGATACTTAATTCTATGTGTGTGGCCAGTATGGCTTCTACCCACTAGATGCTAATAGCACCCAGTGTAACAGTTATAACAACTAAAAATGTCACCAGAGATTGCCAAATGCCCCATGGAGGTGGCGGCAGAGGGAGAGGGTGGGGCCATTGCAGGGGAGGGGACAGGATTGCTCCCGGTTGAGAACCACTGTGTTAGAGGAATGAAAAAACGTATAGCACTGGGAGTCCTGCTTACTTCAAGCTCTCGCCTACTGGTCACTGCGACATAAAAGCAATCCTTCCCGCCAAGCAACTCACAATGGGTGGTGCTGGCAGTACGAGGCTCCCTGCCGCCTCCTGGTCCAGGATTGTCACTGTGGCAGTGGTCACTTCACCGAGAACGGCTTCCACTGGGTCGTCTGGGCCAAGCACCAGGGAGAAAGATTCATGCCATTCCCGGTCTTCATTGGACAGGATCTCGACTTTAAAGAAGATATGATCCACACCTTCGCCAAAGACAAAACACAGGACAGAAGAGGTCCTGGTCAGGTGACTGACCTAAGACAAGGCTTTGTGTTTAAATATGCCCTTTCCTTTTAGGGGTTTTCTACAAATGCAATGGCTGCTGATCACGTTGGCCCCATCTCAAATGGGGAATCTGCTTTACAGACCCAATCCCACCTGCGGTAGAGGCTCAGTATTGCAGATTTACTATTCAGCACCGCATGAGGGTTAATGGCTCCTGTCTGACACTAGCTGGCAGTGATAAAAATCTATGATCCAAAATGCACTTCACCCTGGTTATGGTTATGAGGGTTTTTTTTTTGCTTAATTTTTCTTTCCCCTTTACACTTAGGCATAAGCACCTGTGTGGCTGCAGGTGCTCGCAGACGCCTTTCAGAGCTGTCTCCTGAGGAGCAATAGCTCAAAGACTACCTGCTAGGCCAGTCTCTGCAAAGTTGAGAATGTGGTTTGTTGGCCTTAAAGGGGGAGTGTTAGAATCTTAGAAACACCCTTCCTTTGCCTAAAATGATTCTCTGCAGGTGCAAATATCCCTGGCTGTAAAGTTCCCTTCTTCGTCTCCTGGGCTTGATTACTTCTAAGACCCATATTTCCCCTAGATCCTTATATAGAAAATGAAAAAGTAAAGACACTCAGAAGAGATGTCCTTGTGCAGGCGTGGAGGGAGGGCACCCACATCCCAGCAAACACCAACCAGACAGACAAAGGACGGAGCCCAAAGCCCCAAAGCTCCAGGGGCCTAAGAGAGACATACAGAGACCCCCAAACTCTCTTCTGAGGGAGTTATTTTCTCCCTCCACTTGCCAAGACATCTCTGAAAAGAACTTCTAACACTGTTGCCCACTTCTGGTTACATTACAAATGATGCCATCACCTACATTAGCCTTTTCACCTTACAATGTTCTAGAAAGTTCTGTGGAAATAAAACCTAGCATATAATTCAACTCCTTCCCTGTCTCACTCCTCTCATCAAATTAATACATCAGACAGTTCACTAGCTGGTTGTGACTTCAATCCCATCTTTCCCTCTTCCCTGGCTTGTCTCCATAGCTCTCTCTAGGATAAACCTGTTTTGGAAATTCCATAATAGGGTGTCCCATTTCCTAGTAGATGTTCAGCCACTTGAGCACAGAAAGTGTACCTTCTGGATTTTAGTAAGCCAGGCTCAAAGGGCCTAGCACAGTGGTTTGTACCAATGTTTGTTGAATTGTGGCAGTCACGTACACTTTTTATTTTTTTTTAATTTTAAAATATTTTTTAAATACGTTTTTATTGATTTCAGAGAAAGAGAGAAATATCAATGATGAGAGTCACTGATCGGCTGCCTCCTGCACTCCCCNTGTTTGTTGAATTGTGGCAGTCACGTACACTTTTTATTTTTTTTTAATTTTAAAATATTTTTTAAATACGTTTTTATTGATTTCAGAGAAAGAGAGAAATATCAATGATGAGAGTCATTGATCGGCTGCCTCCTGCACTCCCACTAGTGGGGATCAAGCCTGCATCTGGGGCATGTGCCCTGACTGGGAATCGAACCGTGATCTCCTGATTCATAGGTCAATGCTCAACCACTGAGCCATGCTGGCTGGGCAGTCACATACACTTTTTAAAAACTAAGTGCTTTTATTACTTAGCCAAATCACAGGCCAACAACAATAAAAATCCTTTTAAATGAAGCAAAATGCCAAGGATGTTCCAAAGTCACTGGTCTATTTTTTTTTCCCCGTACAATTTTTACTAATTAAAAATTTTAGACTCCTGCAATCTCAAATGTGTGTTTAAAAAATACTTTATGCTACTGGAATGACTATTTTCCTCTTTCATTTTCCTGCTCATTCCTATCTTCAAATACGAGGTATGTGGTTATCTAGGAAGTAAACCCCCAGGGGCCTGCATTCAGTTACCGGGACTGAACTTCAGGACGCGGCTCTTCGGGTAATAGTCCACACCCGACTGGGCCGACCCGTCCCGGGTGCTGCAGCGGACCCTGGACGTCCTGTTCTGATCCCCTTTGCGGATCACCTTGATGTTCAGAACGGCGGTGGCATCTGGCCCCGAGGGTTCCCGGACCTGGTACGCAGCTTCTTCAAACTCAATGGTGGGGGCTGAGGAAACATGATGGGTTAAGGAATCAGAGCAAGTTAGACAAGCACAGACGATTCTGACCCCAATGGAAACACTTGCTAATGACAAGAGGGAGTTTTTCAGTTAACGACACAAAGACAAAATGGCTTACAGTTGTGAAAATCAATCAGTATTTATCCCTAAGCAATGCTTGGGGAAAAGGAATTTATTTGTGGTTTTGTAGAAGTTGCTTCTCATACATATCTTATTAAGAACAACAGAGTGAGAGAAATATGTTTAAGGACTTCGGAAGGCATGATGCCCACTTCCATCGAGGAGTGCCAACTCACAGAATGTTTTAAAATGTGCACAATTAATCAAGGGACTGAGTCCAGTAAGCAACTGATAGAATTCTATCAACTGAGTCCATGAATCAACTCCTTTTCATTGATGATACATGAATTTCTAAGGTTAATAACTTACCTCATTTATATACGACTTAAATTTACCAAGTGCATCTCTCATCTCTGGTCCTGTGAACCCTCCCGCCTGGTGCTCTTACTTTCCCCCGCCCTCAGCTTTTCCTAACTTCTCGCAGGTTGTTTAGTTATGAGTGGGTAGTCCTCGTGACTGGCTACAACAATAATTCAGGAACAGAAGTCTTCCAAACCCAATCTGGTTTAAGTTATTCTTGCTAGGGTATGGTTAATAATAACATGAGAATTTTTAAAAAATATTCATACTGTGCCTTTTCTCCCCATTACATTCTTATGAATAAGGACAAAGTGGTAGTGGCAGAGAGAGATAAACATCAGAGCAATTACACATTTTATACCATTTTTAATATACAAAATTTTGCAGAAATTTCTAGAGTCTCTATGTTCATTTCTCCCTCAGAAAGTCAATTCTTTCTAATCATAGAAGATAAGCCTCATTTGAGGCTGCCTAGTTTTTAAAACGAATGTTCTTTGAAACTTAGGTGTGTCTCTGAGCTTCCACCATTGGGTTCTCCATGTGACCGGGAGAGGGTCACTGCAGGGGTGGAGCCTGAGCTTCCTTGGTAAAGGAGTGATTCAACCTCCAGGCTGGCTTTCCTTATCTTACCCAGTGTCCAAACTGGTCCCTAATTTTACATATGCATAGCATGATTCTTGGCATACAGTAAATATTCAGTAAAATTGCTATTGCTATTTGTCATATTATCTATTCACTCATTAAAATATCTATTTTAATAAAACAATTATGTCCTAATTTGGAACAGATTTTGTTTTCTCTGGTGCCTGGGTCACTCTTTACTATCACCTGACCAAAGAATTTAAGGTTTTTTTTTGTTTTTGTTTTTTAGGTTAATAGGCCAAGTCAATGAAAGAAACGAAAACCGAGAAATCAGACTTTTCCAGGAAGGTGCAGAGTTTAAATCAGTTCATTGGATTCAGCTGATCCTGATTGTATTTCTAATCCTGCTCCTGAACTCAGTGACTTAACTAGTTTTATTCTCTGTCTGTCTTCGCGTCTCTGTCCTAGCTATTAACCATGCTCACTCCCTAGCGCTTGGCAGTGTGGTATGGAATAATGAGATTTAAAATACCCATAAAGTTATTGGAGCTTTGGAGGTGATGATCATTTGCTGCCAACATTTTAGTAAACTCTGCATGACTGTTACCAGTAGGCACTTTTGTAGACCTGCCATCTTTCAAAACACTTAGAATGACATGAGGAGAGAACAGAGTGTGCCGTCGGTGCGCATGAGGGCAGCGGTTACCGTCTTCGTCGTTGGATATGGTGATGGAGGCCATCTTATTCTTCCCAACCCTGGCTCCGCTCCAGTGGTTTCCGAGAGGATGGCCGAGGAAGACCCTGAACTGTTCGTCGGGCTCAAACTTGGAGTCATCATGGATAGAGACAGTACAGTTCTTCACCTACAGTCAAAGGCACAAGATTGATGAACAATGGCAGTGAGATATTGATAACTTGCTTGGTTTTCCTAGAACATGACTTCTTCTTTGCAGCATCAAAGAGTCAGCACAAATTCAAAAGAATCCAAACTGTTTCATTTATAAAATGGAATGTTTATAGCTAAGAGTTCACGCCTATGTGGGACCTCCCTTGTATAAGAACATCCCAAACCACTTTGAATGACTGGCAGGCAATGAGTTATGGAAAAGAAGATCCAGCGAAGAACCCACTGATGAGCACGCGCAGGACGTCTGCTTGCTGTCCCACGTGTTCCCAGGCGGCCCAGTGCACCTGCACATGTCATGACAGGTAGATTTCTGATGTGGGGGTCTAACAAATGGATTAGACTTCCTGGAGAGCCGAATACCCTTCCTTTTCCACTGTAAAAACTGAATAGTCTTATAAAGAATTTAGAGAGGCTTCTTGTTAGGCTAAAGGCACCTTTAAATGCTGCAGAATTCTCAAATGTGCTGCCAAATGTTGTCTCACCTGAAAACTGCTGAGTATTGATTGAGTCTCAGAACATAACCTAAATCCCTGTTTGATGCAAGGAAATTGTGTCTCTCAAGCTGATGATTCTCTATTGAGGATTGTGTCCTTGAGAAATGTAAAATAAGGTCATAACATTTTAGATAACAGAGCAGCCTTGATAGTAGCCTCTTGTGATAAGTAGGGTTATTTTTAGTTGAACCATTTAAAATCTACTATACTACCGTATTGCATAGGCTATGTGGGTACAGAGAAATTTCATTCTCATACTTCCTAATTATACTAAATAGTAGGAGAACATACCTATGAACATTATATGTGGCTTGCTAACCTGGTTTTAGATCCTTGAAGAGTGTTTCTTTTATTTTCCTACCATATCTTTACTACAGTAACAATTTCTTTATAGAAAATATAAATTTAGTAGTGACTCTTCAGAATATCTTTAAAAGCAGGCAGACTAGTGAATGACAAGTTCTAAAGATATATTGCTTAGCAAGCCAAGAAAATGAAGATTCCAAAGTGTACTGATGAATAATGATAGATAAAATGTCATGTGGGTAACATTTAGACTATTAGACTGTATTTCTTTATAATTTTATTGAATGACAAACTGTCTCTTGGATGGGTAGAGAATCCTTTTATGAACTTAAAGCAAATACAGACATGTAGACTCAAAGGTTAAGACTGCATCTGTTGTATTTGTGTGTATTTTTAAACATGTTTCAACTTTCCACCAGTAAAATTCTTATAAAACATATTACTGAGATGGGGCTTTATTGAGTCATAAATGTGTAAAAGACTGAGAGTCCCAAAGAAGAAAGCTATCACTTTTTTATTGTTATTAAATATGAACAGAAGAAGAATTTGAGGTGAAGTGGGATGGACGGATACCAGGTTTTCTTATGTTAAACTTCATAAGGTCTAATCATAAAACCAAAATTTTATGCATTGGATTATATCAAAATCAAAGACTTCTGTTCAATTAAGAACACCACAGTCAAAGGTAATAGATAAGCGACAGAAAGGGAAAGCGTGTCTCTAATATCTAAAATGTCTAACTGGTAAGGAATCAATATTTAGGATACTCAAGAAGGTATAGGAGATCAGTAAAGGAAAAGACAGCAATATGATAAAATAAGGAAAAAAGGGCAAAAATAAATTTCCATAAAAGGAAGCTCAATAAGTTAACAAGTGTATAAAAGATCATTAATTAGAAAAATGCAAATTAAAACAAGATATAACTTTATGCATATTAGATTAGCGAAAAGTCAAAAGATGAGTAATGCTAAGTGTTGATAGGGACGTTGGGTTATAATAATCCTCACATACCCGCTAGTGAGATTTTGGAAAGTACTCGGACACTCTTTTTTAAATTAAGCACACGCATGCCCTATGGTACAGCGATTTGGCTGCGGGGTACTTGTGCAGAGAAACTCCCCTCATGCCTGCGAGCGGGTGTGTATGAGGATTTGCACTGCGCATTAGTAGCGGTGGCCGAGTGTGAGGAGGGGACCGGAGGCTATCCCTGTGGCTCCTCACTGCCTGTTGCTGAGAGCAGGCGGGTAGAAGCTCAGCATGAAATACTATGCGACAGTTTGCAGCAACAGATTAGATGTACACATACATGACATGGAAGAATAAAACATATTGCTGGGTAGACACAGTAAAAGTTTGAAAAAGACACAACACAATAGCTATTTTATAAAATAAAAATTATGCACACAAAAGCAGCATTTTTAAAGAACAAATACAAATGAAAAGATATTTTAAACACAACAGATTGATGAGCTCTGAGGTGGGGAAGGGAATGTGACTGAAGAAGAGGCATAAATTAAAAAGTAAAATGAAAGAAGGGCCTTGAACTAACTAATGAGGACTTGTGCCTTGAACCAAAGGGTACAGTGGACTCAACCACCCGCAGCTGAGTTCCAAAAATGGAAAACCGTGAGTCTTATTTGCTATATATTTTTGGCAGACACTGAGCTGCAAGTGTGGAGTCTGATGTAGCCGTGCGTAGTGCCTGGCGTCGCTCAGGAGTCCCATGCACTGTGCATTGCTATTCAAGCACGTCGCCAAGAGCCTATTCTACTGACTTGAATCTGCTCTCTGCCTGCCTATCTGGTCTTAGACTATTGGGCCTATTAGGATGTAGGCTGCCCTGGGAAAGGGGCCCAGGTATCAGGGAACTGCCTCTTCCTCCTTTAGGTTACACTGGTGGAATCTCTTCGTCTCTAATGTTGTTTCAAATTAAGAGGGGCCTCATTCATTGAATTCTGTTAAATTCCAAAAATATTACACATCACCTAAATTTCCCAGCTCAACCAATAACACATGTATTTGGTTTTAGGTGGGAGACCAAGAAGATAGCCACAAAAAATGCATGATATCACTAAAAATATTGTCAATTAGTAAGAAACGTCCCAGGCTGTTCAGAATTTGTCTCAATTACCTCACTACGGACAGATAAAGGCATCAAGGACGAAGAGAACCTCATCTTCCAGCACCGTCAACCTCTTACCTTCTCCCCTTTCAGGAACGTAATCCGCGAAGAGTCTGAGTTTCTTCTCTCCGCAAAGTCCTCCGCGACCTGAGCTGTGTAGCTCTCAGTGTAGCACCTCACCGACGACTCATAGCTCAGGTCCCCACTCCGAACGATAGGCACGTGCAGGACACCCTCCTTCTCCTTCACGAGGAGCAAATCCTTGGCAAACTGCATGCTGGGCACTGGGGGGCAGAAGGAAAGACGGAGGCATCGTTGGAGGGAGACAGAGGGAGGTGGCCACAGCCCTCGCTGGCCTCAGTGGCCACACGGCAGGAGGGCTCCAGGAGGCAAGTCACAGGGGGTAAGCAGGTTTCAAGGCGTGGTTGCTGCTCTCAGGACAAGGGGATTGTTTCCACTGTGAGTGTGGTGCCAATAAAATAGAATAAATACATTTTGCACCTGTTTTTGCCCAGCTTCAGGCTATGGTCACCATCCCAAATGCAGACAGGTAATGCAAGTAAAGACATGGGCCAGGTGTAAGAAAAAGTTTAATGGAGACTTGAGTACTCAAAAAAGTTCACTTCCCTTCTAAGGCTACAATAGGAAAATAGCAGTGTGAGCCTGCTCAGAAATGACCACTCACACTGGTCCTGGGGCCAGGAAGATAACAGGGAGGAGCTGGGACATTGGCAAAGAGGAAAGAACAGGCCTTGCTTAAAGGAGCTGACTTTCAGCTCCAGTTTTTTGTTGGCAGATCTTCCTACTTTTAAACAAAGCCCGATATCTTATCTGGATTTTTATGTCTTAGCTCCTAAATTTTAAAATAGCAACCCATTAAAATAGGAAAAAGAAATTCCATATAGGTCAAAGCTATTTGGGCCAAACAAAACACATCCACATGCTGAAATGTCTAGCAGACCCCCAGTCTGTGACCACTGCTGGAGCGTTACCTGTTCTCATAACTCACAAGGCCTCATTTGACACTAGGGAGGGAAAGCAGCCAAATCATGGTTAAAAACAAGGGCGTTGGAGTAAACCTGCTTGAATTTCCATCCCAGCCCTACTACTTATTAGCTCTACGATATAGAGCAATCTACTTAGATTTTATGAGCCTTGGGTTTCTTCAATATGTAAACTGGAAATGTTAATAGCTAACTCATAGAATTATCAGGAGTATTGAATTTAACAAGATTATGTGAGTACAGTGCTCAGTGCAGGATCTGGCACACAGCAGGCACTCAAATTTTGGTAGGAATTAGTATCATATGGTTCATATACTGCCCTATCCCAGGCTTCTCAATATGAAGGGTCAGTTTTTTCTCTCCTTACTTCCCACAATGCCCATGGTAATACTCCGCATTAAGGCTTGCCCCTTCCCAGAACATTCTGACTGCCGGTTATTAATTTCCTAATGAACAATACAAAGAGGTAGTCCCTCCGGTCATATGACAAATTAGTCTTCGGGGCTGCAGGAAGCTGACCTACAGCTGCAGACACCTCCTTCCTGGCTGTGTCCAGGGTATGCCCTGCCAAACCTAAAGGAGGGAACCAAGGGCTGAACACCCAAGTATCCTGCAAGTCAATATGCAGAAAGCTCTGTTTGCTTCCAACCCGCCCACTGCTCAGAACTGTTGGCAGCAGCAAAGTAAAACAAACCCATGATCTGCGCTAAGCCTAACAGTTACCATTTATTACTAAGAAAAACCCAGAACACCACACCTAAAGGAAAATTAACACCATTAGCATTAGGCCCTGAACAATTACCATTTAGGGCTCTGTCATCCAGTAAAATGGTCTGTGCTGTTGAAAAGTGGGTGGCAATGTCATGACCTAGCACAGGAGGACAAGAGGAAGCTTGTCGCCCAGTGAAAAGCAACATAAGCAAGAAAGCTTTTCTGCTCATGGCAGATTATCTAATGCTCTGCATTGATTTTTCTTGCTGGCCTGACAGGCATCAAGTCAGAGGAGTTAAAAGCTAGAGTGGTTGTCTTTTCATTTTGTTGATGGTTTCCTTCGCTGTGTAAAAACTTTATAGTTTGATGTAGTCCCATTTGTTTGTTTATTATTTTGTTTCCCTTGCCCCAGGAGAAATATCAGAAAAAAAATTGCTACGAAAAATGTCTGAGATTTTACTGCCTATGTTTTCTTTTTGGATTTTTATGGTTCTGAGTCCTAAGTCTTTAATCCATTTTGAGATTATTCTTGTGTGTGGTGTAAGAAGGTGGTCTAATTTCATTTTTTTGCACGTAACCTATCCAATTTTCCTAACACCATTTATTGATTAGACTATCGTTACCCCATTGTAGGTTCGTGCCTCCTTTGTCAAATATTAATTGGCCATAAAGGTGTAGGTTTGTTTCTGGGCTCTCTATCTGTTCCATTGATCTATATGTTTGTTTTTATTCCAGTACCATGCTATTTTGATTATTATGGCTTTGTAGTATAGTTTGATATCAGGTAGCATAATTCCTCCAACTTGGTTCTTCTATCTCAAGATTTCTGTGTCTATTTGGGGTCATTTGCAGTTCCTATAAATTTTTGGAATATTTGTTCTAGTTCTGTGAAATACGCCATTGGTCTCTTGATAGGAATTGTGTTGAATCTACAGATTGCTTTGGATAGTATGGACATTTTAATGATGTTAATTCTTCCTATACATGAACTCGGTATATGCTTCCACTTATTTATATATTCTTCAATTTCTTTCTTCAGTGTCTTACAATTTTATGAGTATAAGTTCTTTACGTCCTAGGTTAAATTTATTCCTAGGTATTTTTTTAATGCAATTGTAAATGGGACTGTTTTCTTAGTTTCCCTTTCTGATATTTCATTATTGGTGCACAAAAATGCAACTGATAAATGGATATTTATTTTGTATCCTGCTACTTCACTGCATTCATTGATCAATTTTAGTATTTTTTGGTGGAATCTTTACAGTTCTCTCTATATAGTATCATGTCCTCTGCAAATAATGACAGTTTTACTTTCTCCTTTCCAACGTGGATGCTTTTTATTTCTTCTTCTTGTCTGATTGCTGTGCCTACAACTTCCAGCACTATGTTGAGTAAGAATGGTGAAAACAGACATCCCAGTTTTGTTCCTGATCTTAAGGGAAATGCTTGTAGCTTTTGCCCGTTGAGAATGATGTTGGCTGTGGGTTTGCTATATACGGCCTTTATTATGTTGAGGTATGTTCCCTCTATTCCCACTGAATGGCATAACACATTCACCAATGATATATTTGATAAGGGGTGAAAATCCAAAATTTATAAAGAACTTATACAACTCAACACCAATAAAAACAAACAATCCAATTAAAAAATGGGCAAAGGGCCTGAATAGACATTTTTCCGAAGAGAATATACAGATGGCTAATAGACATATGAAAAGATGCTCAACGTCACTAATCATCAGAGAGATGCAAATTAAAAGCACAATAAGATATCACCTCACATCTGTCAGAATGGCTCCATCAACAAATCAACAAACAACAAGTGGTGGTGAGGGTGCGGGGAAAGGGAGCCTGGTGCACTGCTGGTGGGAATGCAGACTGGCGCAGCCACTGTGGAAAACAGTGTGGAGGTTCCTCAAAAGATTAAAAGTAGAACTGCCGCCCGGCCGGGTGTGGCTCAGCGGGTGCGCGTCAACCTAGGATCCAGGCGATCGGGGTTCGATTCCCGGTCAGGGCACATGCCCGGGTTGTGGGCTCGATCAATGACTCTCTCAGCATTGATGTTTCTGTCTCTCTCTCTCCCTCTCCTTTCCTCTCTCTGAAATCAA